CTCAAACTAAGTGTGTTTAGCCAATTTCGACAAAATATGAGTAATGTGACTTAAGCCTGTTTTTAACTACATTTTATATCAAAATGGAATCAAATCTCACTCTGGTGCTGTTTCAAGTTATGTTGTGAAGACATTTTTTGCAAATAGAATCAAATTTCACCCCAGTATTATTTTAAATTAAGTTGCAAAGAGACTAATGCTTTTAAAGATTTTTCTTCTTACATAATGGGCTGGACTTCTGCTGAGCATTATTCATAGTCTGAGCAGCAGAGAAAACTTGATTGATTTTGTAGCATTTAGCTCTGACATAAGCGACAGAATTTGCCAGGACAGTGGCTGAAGAAAGGCTGGAGGCCTGTTCCTTCTTCAGCCATAAATTATGCAAGACTGTTTTCTGGGAATTTTCTCAGATAAATCTTATTAGGGCTGGCACTGCACTTCGGGGCATGTCTACCCAGAAGTAAGTCTAGGGTGGCTATTTATGCATCCAAAGGAAATGCATTCAAAAGAGAAAAAGTGCAAAAGAGGATAGTTATTTGCATAACATCTCCACATGCTGGCTTATAACAAAAAAAATGCAAAGTTAGGAGCAACTGCAATGTAGAAATACAATGCTTCTTCTATAGTGCGTAAAACAATACCAAGGGGACTGAACTCTTGTTTACTCTTGCTTCAAAGCCTTTCCTACATTGCCCTAAACGTTTTGGGACCTGCCTATCTTCACGATTACATCTTCCTCTATGAACCTGTACAATCTCTAAGATTAGGGGAGGCCCTATTCTTGCTCCCATCTACATCAAAAGTACGGCTGGTGGGGACAAGAGAGAGGGCCTTCTTGGTGGTGGCCGCCCAGCTATGGAATTCTCTCCACAGGGAGATCAGGCTGCCACCTTGTCCTTGTCCCACCTTCTCCATTTTTTGCAAAGATCTAAAAGTGTGGATGTTCCACTATGTTTTTAATAAGATGGTTCTGCAGAAAATTTTCGCCTCCGGCTATGGCCCAAAATTCGGTCCCTGTACTTTACTACTCTCACCTACACAGAGATATAGTGTTCTACATCATATTGCACTTTATCTCCAATTTTGTTATCTGCACTTGTGCTCTATCTATCACAACAAAAGTTAACAAAAGGAACTACAATTCAGTATTCACTACAGTTCAAATTCTTGTATTTCATTATGGTATCATGGTTTGAGCATTAGGTATGACTCTATGAGAGTTCAGAGTTTGAATCCATGCTCACCCATGGAAACCTAACCTTTTTGCCAGCTGAACTGCTGATCTGAAGGTCGGCGGTTCGAATCCGTGAGACGGGTGAGCCCCCATCTGTCAGCTCCAGCTTCCCATGTGAGAATCATAGAATCAAAGAGTTGGAAGAAACCTCATGGGCCATCCAGTCCAACCCCCTGCCAAGAAGCAGGAATATTGCATTCAAATCACCCCTGACAGATGGCCATCCAGCCTCTGTTTAAAAGCTTCCAAAGAAGGAGCCTCCACCACACTCCGGGGCAGAGAGTTCCACTGCTGAATGGCTCTCACAGTCAGGAAGTTCTTCCTCATGTTCAGATGGAATCTCCTCTCTTGTAGTTTGAAGCCATTGTTCCGCGTCCTAGTCTCCAGGAAGCAGAAAACAAGCTTGCTCCCTCCTCCCTGTGGCTTCCTCTCACATATTTATACATGGCTATCATATCTCCTCTCAGCCTTCTCTTCTTCAGGCTAAACATGCCTAGCTCCTTAAGCTGCTCCTCATAGGGCTTGTTCTCCAGACCCTTGATCATTTGAGTCGCCCTCCTCTGGACACATTCCAGCTTGTCAATATCTCTCTTGAATTGTGGTGCCCAGAATTGGACACAATATTCCAGGTGTGGTCTAACCAAGGCAGAATAGAGGGGTAGCATGACTTCCCTAGATCTAGAAGCTATGCTCCTATTGATGCAGGCCAAAATCCCATTGGCTTTTTTTTGCAGCCACATAACATTGTTGGCTCATGTTTAACTTGTTGTCCATGAGGACTCCAAGATCTTTTTCACACATACTGCTCTCGAGCCGGACTCTCGAGGACATGAGAGAAGCCTCCCACAGGATGGTATAACATCCAGGTGTCACATGGCAATGTCTTTGCAGACGGTCAATTCTCTCACACCAGAAGAGAGTTGAAGTTCCTCAAGCCACTTCTGACACGAAAAAAGTCACACTTAGGCCTCATCTACACTACTACATAATTCAGTCTGAAGTACATTCTAATGGTCAGTGTAGACATATATATGTAGATTGAACCACATTGAACTGGATTATATGAGTCCACACTGCCATAAAATCCAGTTAAACTGCACTCTGAAACTGAATTAAATGGCAGTGTTGATGGGGCCTTGCTCGGTCTCAGAGAAAGACATTGGCAAATCTCATCTGAACAAATCTTGTAAGACGACCTTGTGATGGATTCACTGTATGGTTGCCATAAATCTGAAATTTCTGTATAGGCTTTTGCACAGGTTCCTTTATGGCTTTTAGAAAATAAGAGTCCTCCGACTAGTACCAACCTACTAATGTTAACCAATTTTAATTCTAACTCAACTGGTCCAACATGAGCCCAAAAGCTTTAGGGCACTTCGACACAGCCCTATATCCCAAAATATCAAGGGAGAAAATTCCGCAATATCTGCTTTGAACTGGGTTATCTGAGTCCACACTTTCCATAATGTGGAATTTTCTGCCTTGATATTCAGGGATATAGGGCTGTGTCGAAGGGCCCTAAGATAATAGAGGCATCCCTAGTCTTAATCTCATCCTTGGTGTCCTTAGATATGGCAACTATCTCCTGAAATTCAAGGACGAGACACACAACAACAAGGACACTATTAGGATTCCCTCACTATAATATGTGCTCTGTCTTGAAATCAACAAAGCCTCCGTTACTGAACCTTGTGCCACTTTCTTCTTACGTGCAATTTCACAGGGAACCACTATTGTTGTTGTTCTAGCTTGCTTTGTTTGAGTGAACAAAATGAACACTGTTGGTGATGATTAACTGAGGAAATGTGTCAAAACCCACAATCCCAAAGTCTGAAATCATTCTCTCTTTTTTTGCAGGGATTAGATTTTCTCATGTCTCTCAAGCACGATATTCATCTGCAAGCATGAGATTCACATGAGACACCAATACAAATAGTAAATAAGTGCTTTCATAGGAGAAGCATTGGCCTGATTGGGAGGTGCAGATGTTTCTCTAAATGGGGCAATAGTTGGGAAAGATGAACAATTTGTCTTTGGAAAATCTGAAAAATGAAGTGACTGCAATCTCAGGAAATTGACAACTCCTCCTTGAGTTTCAGGAAAAAAACAAGCAAACAAAAGGACATATTTATTGGAAGTCTTGTCCTAAACTCTGTTGTCGATTAGACCTATCTTATCAGCAGGTTTGTCTTCATTTAAAAACATCCTAAACTAACTTTTTAAACAACATCCTATAATAATACTTTATCTATCCGAATGTATCTCCCTTTGCGAAGCATCAAAGACCTTAAGATCTTCCGGGGAGGCCCTGCTCTCAAGTCCCACCACCATCGCAGTCGCACTTGGTGGGAACGAGACAGGGCCTTCTCCATGGTGGCCCCTCATCTATTCAACTCTCTCCCTAGTGAGGTTAGATCTGCCCCCTCCTTCCTGACCTTCCAGAAGAAACCGAAATCCCGGCTTTGGGATCAGGCATTCGCAGAATAGACTGATTGCACTGAGGAAGACAAGATTTTATCTGACCACAGTTTGGACAGAGTTGGATGACATTTTTAACTTGGTGAACTGGTTTTTTAATGTATATTTATAACTATTTTATTATGTATATGGTTGTTTTTATTATGTGTTTACATTATAATGGCACTGAATGTTTGCCTCTTGGAAGCCATTCTGAGTCCTTCCTTGGAGGTCGAGAAGGACGGGTATAAATATTCTAAATATTTGTGCTCGGAAGCTAATTGGCAACTTGCGAGGCTGCCAATTAGCTTCCGAGCACAATTCAAAGTGCTGGTGTTAAACTATAAATCCCTAAACGACTCCAACCCAGCTTACCTGTCCTATGAACCATCAAGATTGTTAAGATTGTCTGGAGGGGCCCTGCTCTCGGTCCCACCAGCCTCTCAAGCACGCCTGGTGGGGACGAGGGACAGGGCCTTCTCGGTGGTGGCCCCTTGGCTCTGGAACTCCCTCCCACTGGAAATTAGAACTGCCCCTTCTCTTCTGACTTTTAGAAAACAGGTGAAAACCTGGCTCTGGAAACTGGCATTTGACGAGTGAGTCAATAACTCGTGGCTATATGGATGGATGGTGATGAACAACGATTTTATTGTGACGACTTGGCCATTGTAATTATATGATTGTATTTTTGGTATTTTAATGTGTTAATGTATTATGAAATGTGATGTTTTTAAATGAATAATACCTTATTGTTGCTTCTAGATGTTACTTTCAAAAGGGAATTTAAGGCATTTTTTCAAAGCATTTCGACATGATTTTGTTCATGCCATTCTATTATTATTATTATTATTATTATTATTATTATTATTATTATTATTTGATACACAGCAAGATTAGTACACAGCAAAGAAGATCACAAAGCTGGTTTTTGTATTTGATCACACAACGGACACTTCCCAAGTGTTTAGGACTGTGTGATGTATCGGAGAATAACACATGCAGATCCAAGGAGGGTGGCATTTTGCAGCTGACAGATGGTAATTTTCTCAGCACTGATTGTTTTTAAGTGCAGGCCAAGTTCTTTAGAGACTGTACCCAGTGTGCCGATCACCACTGGGACTACTTTACTATTATTATTATTATCATTATCATCATCATCATCATCATCATCATCACCATCATCATCCAAGATCTTGCACAGTTTCACAGTGCCTTAGAACATAACCAGAAAAATAGTTACAGCTACCATATTAATTAGCTACAATACAGGAATTTTTACCCAACCAAATAAAACAAGATTGTTACTAACCTTTGGGAAAAGTGAGAAAGTTTCATTGTCAATGGTGAAGGAGTACAGAAATTCACCGTCATACCAGAGGTTCTTTCCCACCGGAGAGTTCTCCTTTGTCATTGCAAAGAGCTGACCAGGGTCACAGCACTCTTTTAGCAGTTTCCTAGGAGAAGAAAACAGAAAAGATAAGTGAGTTGGATACATTGATGAGAAGTATTTTTCAGCTTTGTACAAGAAAAATGGGGAATGGGATGGGAATCTTTCAGCCCTTGGGCTACATGGTGTCAAAAGAATCACAGAACTGGAAGAGAGTCAAAGGTCCGTCCTTTTGGAGCATGTAAGTTGGTGAGTGTGGTAACTGAAAATGCAAAGAATGAAGTCACACCTGGGGAGCTAGCTGAGCCTGGGAGTTTGGGCAACAGTTACATTTTTAGTCTTGTGTTGTGCAGGAAATTGCAGAGAGAGAGAGTGAGAGTTCTTGCTTCATGAGCTGCTGGAAGAAGATTTTCCACATGGACACCTAAAAACCATTTTGAATCTCTCAAAAAGGACATTGTATGAATCAATGCAGCTGATCACACGATTTTATATATGTTGCTCTTCATTGCAAAGAGTAAACTTCTTGTTCTTTATTGATCATCTGTGTGGCATATTTTCTTTCTCTGGCAAGACAATGTGTGGATTGATAAAATGTGAACTATGCATGATTTTAATTACGCCACACATCCATGCAGGAACACAAAACCAGAGCACTCCTAACAGATGGCCATCCAGCCTCTGTTTGAAAGCCTATCTCTGGATTGCAAAATGATCAAAGAAAATTGTATCTTTTGAGGGATGAAGTAATAGTGGGAAAGCAACACAATTGCCTAATAAGGGTATAATTATTAAAAGACTTTCGAATAATTGTGGGCTACTGTGGAGGTTGTGGGAGAGTTGGGGCTATTTATTTATTTAACATGTCAGAGACAACCAGACAATTGTATTACATTTCTAACAGAACAAAACAGACAAACAGACAAAACACAAAATTTGCAAGCTTGGTAGTTGATTAAATATCCTTTGACCAGTATCTGGCCACTTGGAGTGCCTCTGGTGTTGCCGCAAGAAGGTCCTCCATTGTGCATGTGGCAGGGCTCAGGTTGCATTGCAGCAGGTGGTCAGTGGTTTGCTCCTCTCCACACTCGCATGTTGTGGATTCCACTTTGTGGCCCTGCATCTCGTGGTGCCAGAGCGCAGTCTGTTCAGTGCCTTCCAAGTCGCCCAATCTTCTATGTGCCCAGGGGGGAGTCTCTCATTTGGTATCAGCCATTGATTGAGGTTCTGGATTTGAGCCTGCCACTTTTGGACTCTCGCTTGCTGAGGTGCTCCAGCGAGTGTCTCTGTAGATCTTAGAAAACTATTTCTTGATTTAAGTCGTTGACGTGCTGGCTGATACCCAAACAAGGGATGAGCTGGAGATGTCACTGTCTTGGTCCTTTCACTATTGGCTGCTACTTCCCGGCGGATGTCAGGTGGTGCAATACCGGCTAAACGGTGTAATTTCTCCAGTGGTGGAGGGCACAGACACCCCGTGATAATGCGGCATGTCTCATTAAGAGCCACATCTACTGTTTTAGTGTGGTGGGATGTGTTCCACACTGGGCATGCATACTCAGCAGCAGAGTAACATAGTGCAAGGGCAGATGTCTTCACTGTGTCTGGTTGTGATCCACAGGTTATGCCAGTCAGCTTTTGCGTGATATTGTTTCTAGCACCCACTTTTTTCTTGATATTCAGGCAGTGCTTCTTGTCACTGAGACTGACCAATCAGAAGCCCAGGGGGGCTATTAAAATGGTTCTAACGTTATTGCTTCTCTTGATGGAGATAAAACTCCTGAAGGAACCTTTCTCAGCTGACGCAAGGCCACCCCTGACCCAAGGGACTTAGAAGTAGGAACATTCCTATGTGAGTAAGCAATGTATAACAATCAGATTATGTATTGTCGAAGGCTTTCATGGCCGGAACCATGAAAATGAACAAAGTCTGGCTACCAGTATTAAAAAAAAACTCTAAAATTACAACAGCACAACAAAAGAGAGGAAACAAACAAGGACATCTAATCACCTCTCAACAAAAGTTTGCTCCAGGCACTGTCAAGCCATTATATGCTAATCAAGGTGGTCAGTTGAAACATTCACACCTAGCTCCAGCAGACAAGAGTCCTTTGTCCCACCCTGGTCATTCCACAGATATATAAGCCCTTTTTCCTAGTTCCAACAGACCTCACTACCTCTGAGGATGCTTGCCATAGATGCAGGCGAAATGTCAGAAGAGAATGCCTCTAGATCATGGCCATATAGCCCGAAAAAACCTACAACAACCCAATCAGATTATGGCTTTATTCCAGTTTGGGTTTTTATACTTTGAGATATTTTTTTTCTTTAATGTCTTCTTGATTTTGTTTTCTATGATTAAGCTGAACCTAAGGGTTATGACTCTAAGGAAATCTAATCTGGTGACTCTACTGTCCGACAAAGCACTTTGTGGATTGGTATTTTTCTTTTCCTGAAAGCGGAAGAGATGGCAAGAAGATTCACACATGGAACCTGAATGGTGCTTGCAAGGTACTGTGCAATCCAGTCTGCACATCATCCAAAGTTTTGGGTGCAGGGCCAAGCAATTCTCTTTGCACATAACACCAGCTGGATTTGTAACAGGCTGACATTAAATAAATTAAATCAGTGACCAAAGTGGCTCCATCAGGCAAAAGTAGCAGAGGGAGAAAATGCAATACTACTCAGTCATTCTTTAGGGAAGTTTCCTTGATTTGTTTTTTCCTCTCCTGCAGCTGTCACCCTGCAATGGCTATTCTATCAGGAGGGAAGAAGAGGGACCTTGTTGGTTCTGCTAAGAGGCCACCTTTGAGTCTTGTTGAAGAGAGGAAACCAGAGTATAAATAAATATGATTATCATCACCATCTGTTTCCTATCTGTGACTAAATAGAAAAAATCCACCAGGACATGGAAGAGGGAAAGGAAGGTTAAAAGTTCACCCCATCAGTTCAGCTAAGGGTTGAACTCCATCTTTAATATTTTAACTGGACATCAGAATAGCTCCAAGGGACATTCATTAAAGGTTTCCCTGACCCACTTCTATTTATCACAGGACTCTGAAACTGCACACACTTAATGATATAAGTCTCTATAGGTTACGTGCCAATTTACAACTCAGAACTGATAAAGGTCTTGATTTTAGAGGTGCTGAAGTGGTGTGAGGTTTGAGAATGGATCCAGTGGAGTACAGAGCAGTCCTCAAGTTCCTTTCCTTGAAAGGTCACATACCAAAAGAGACGTTCGATGAGATGAAAGAGGTTTATGGTGATGGTTCCCCATCATGTGATGGAGCCAAGAACTGGCATCGTCTATTTAAATGTGGGAACGAGAGACAGGGCCTTCTCAGTGGTGGCCCCTTGGCTGTGGAACTCCCTCACCAAGGGACAGTAGATCTGCCCCTTCCTTCCTGACCTTCTGCAGAAAAGTGAAAACATGAACAAGCCTTTGGGAACCTAGTGCAATAGATAAACATGGAACTATGTGATATCGAATACTGAAATGGCTTAGATGAGGTTTTTGGAAGACGAGGTTAATAGTGAAGGTAGTGGTTTTATATGGTTTTAAAGGTTTTAATGTATTATAAATGTTTATTGTATTTTTTACATTGTTTTAATGGCACCGAATACCTGCCTATGTTGTAAAGTGGCCTTGAGTCACCTTCAGGTTCAAGAAAGGCGGGGTAGAAATATCGTTACCAAATAATTAAATAAATAAATAAATTGTTTGAGTTTCTTGGGGGTACTATATTAATTAAATCCATAAATAATATAACCCACAAAAGTTAAATTCACATAGGTAGAGGACTGACCATACTTTTAAGGTCCAGTTTGTTGGTTTTCTTTTATGATTTTTAAAAAATCTTATATAAACCACTCTGAGAGCGTTTGCAGCTGAACAATTGAGTAAATACTGTTCTTCTTATTTATCAATAGTAACAAGAATTGTGTAAGCCAACTGTATAAAACATCTAAAGCTATGCATTGGTATAACCTCATCAATCATCTCCCGCATTCGAGGGCAGGTCATTTTTAAACGAATGGTTGCTTGATGCCTATTGTCTTGTATAGATTTGTGTAAATATATCTAAATGTATTGGATCCTAGTAACCGCTTGTAGACTCTGAGCTCTTATCAAAGCTTAGAAAAATAGGTTTACATAACATAGTACATTTATGTACTATGTACATATAGGCATTATTTTTATTGTTAGCTTTTGGTTCATCTTGATGGTCTTTAAACAGGAGTGGGAAACATACAGTTCATTAGATTGTTGTGATTTTTCGGTGCTGTATGGCCTTTTCTGTGGCGGCCCCCCGACTTTGGAACGCCCTCCCAAAAGATCTCAGACAGGCCCCTACTCTAGCCGTTTTCAGAAGGAATTTAAAAACTTGGCTGTTCCGTTGTGCTTTCTCAGATTAGGAATCCCCACCCCAAGTCCAAATAGCACCTTAGCATAACAAATCGTTACTGCACACCGCACTTGAAATCCTACGTGCCTCCTGCCATTTCAGCACTTTTAATCCCTTGTACCCAGTGCGCCGGCCGAACCAGTTTTAATAATGTCTTGATGTACTGCTATTGTTGTTATTTTGCTATTGTTTGATTTGTTCTGCTTTTGTGATGTCTGTTTCTATTATATTGTGTTTTGTGGCTTCGGCCTGTGTAAGCCGCATCGAGTCCTTCGGGAGATGCTAGCGGGGTACAAATAAAGTTAATAATAATAATAATAATAATAATAATGTTCCAGAAGCATTCTCTCCTGATGTTTCACCTGCAGGCATTCTCAGAGGTTGTGCGGTTTGCTGGAAACTAGGAAAATAGGGTTTATATATCTGTGAGATGTCCAGGGTGGGAGAAAGAACTCTTGTCTGGTCAAGGTATGTGTGAATGTTTCAACTGGCCACCTTGATTAGCATTTAATAGCCTGGCAGTTTAAGGTGTGACTTCTTACTGCCTGGGGGAATCCTTTGTTGGGAAGTGATTAGTTGGCCCTGATTGTTTCTTGTATGGAATTCCCATGTTTTTGAGTGTTGTTCTTCATTTACTGTTATGATTTTGGAAGTTCTT